CGGGGTGGGGGTTTGCAAGCCTCGCATGCCCAGCAGTTGGTTGCGGCCGCAAGCCCAAGCCCGGATCCCCAAAGGAGACCCTAATCCCTAAACCCTAAACCCTATATAGTACAAGTACACTTGGGCCCTACAGCTACTATATAGGAACCCCGTTAAGGCCCAAGTATGTACTATGTAGGTACATGGATCCTTAGGGAACCTAAACCCTAAGCCCCAACTGGCCTGTTGCGTCGCAATAAGGCACCTACCCAAACCCGCAACTTTCCCGGAGACTGCCTCAAACCGCGAGATCCCTCCGACTTAGTGTTGTTTTCCAAGAACAGACAGGAGGATCCGTCCGCAGGGCCTTGAAGACAAGAGCCCACGAACAGAAAGGCCCAGTGGTACCCTTTACCCTTTTTTTGGGTTCAAGGTTCCCTTATAAAGTAACCAACCCAAAAAAGGGTGCCCTTGTCATAATGTGGTTACTGGGCTACCAAGGACCCTTTAGGGTTTAGGGTTTAGGGTTTAGGGTTTAGGGTTTAGGGTTTAGGGTTTAGGGTTTAGGGTTTAGGGTTTACAAGTGCTTGGACCACCGTTGCTCCGGCGGCGTGTTTGGAGTGCCAAGAGGGAGACATTCGGGAATGGGGAGTGCGTGGAGGCTAACCCTAAACCCGAAACCCTTAAACCCCTAAAGCCCCTAAACCCCTAAACCCCTAAACGCCTAAACCCCTAGACCCCTAAACCCCTAAACTCCTAAACTCCTAAACTCCTAAACCCCTAAACACCTAAACCGCTAAAACCCCTAAACCCCTAAACCCCTAAACGCCTCAATCCCTAAACCCCTAAACCCCTAAACCCCTAAACCCCTAAACGCCTCAATCCCTAAACCCCTAAACCCCTAAACTCCTAAAACTCCTAAACTCCTAAACCCCTAAAACCCTAAACCCCCTAAACCCCTAAACCCCTAAACCCCTAAACCCCTAAACCCCTAAACCCCTAAACCCCTAAACGCCTAAACCCCTAAACCCCTAAACCCCTAAACCCCTAAACCCCTAAACTCCTAAACTCCTAAACTCCTAAACCCCTAAACCCCTAAACCGCTAAAACCCCTAAACCCCTAAACCCCTAAACGCCTCAATCCCTAAACCCCTAAACCCCTAAACCCCTAAACGCCTCAATCCCTAAACCCCTAAACCCCTAAACTCCTAAAACTCCTAAACTCCTAAACCCCTAAAACCCTAAACCCCCTAAACCCCTAAACCCCTAAACCCCTAAACCCCTAAACCCCTAAACCCCTCAACCCCTAAACCCCTAAAACCCCTAAACCCCTTAACGCCTCAATCCCTAAACCCCTAAACCCCTAAACTCCTAAAACTCCTAAACTCCTAAACCCCGAAAACCCTAAACCCCCTAAACCCCCTAAACCCCTAAACCCCTAAACCCCTAAACCCCTAAACCCCTAAACCCCTAAACCCCTAAACGCCTAAACGCCTAAACCCCTAAACCCCTAAACCCCTAAACCCCTAAACCCCTAAATCCCTAAACCCCTAAAACCCCTAAACCCCTAAACCCCTAAACCCCTAAACACCTCAGCCCCTAAACCCCTAAACCCCCTAAACCCCTAAACCCCTAAACCCCTAAACCCCTAAACCCCTAAACCCCTAAACCCCTAAACCCCTAAACCCCTAAACCCTAAAACCCTCAACCCTAAGCCCTGCCGGATGCTCCGAGGCCCCAACGCCCATCGTCTGCGAGGAGACGTTCGGGCTGCTTGAGCCGGAGTACTTCCGATGCTCGGCGGAAGGGCTTAGGGTTTAGGGTTTAGGGTTTAGAGTTAAGGGTTTAGCGTTTAGGGTTTAGGGTTTAGGGTTTAGAGTTTAGGGTTTGGGGTTTAGGGTTTAGGGTTTAGAGTTTAGGGTTTAGGGTTTAGGGTTTAGAGTTTAGGGTTTGGGGTTTAGGGTTTAGGGTTTAGAGTTTAGGGTTTAGGGTTTAGGGTTTAGGGTTTAGGGTTTGGGGTGTTAGGGTTTAGGGTCCCAGGGTGGGGGGGGGGGGGGGTGAAGGAGTCCCAAGTTGAGGCTTAAGGGATTTGTAGGTTTTGGGTTTAGGGCTTTAGGGCTCTGTGGTTTTAGGGACTTAAGGTTTTAGGGACTTAAGGTTTTAGGGACTTAAGGTTTTAGGGCTTTAGGGCTCTGTGGTTTTAGGGACTTAAGGTGTTAGGGTTTCGGATCCAGGGTTTTAGGGGTTTAAGGGTTTTCAGGGTTTTGGGGTTTGGGGCTTAGGGGCATATGAATCGGGTTGCCTACAAGGAAGGGGACTTTGCGGGGCCTACAAAGCCATCATCATGATCATTGCATGTTTTTTTTTTTTTTTTTTTGGGGGGGGGGGGGGGGGCGGGGGTTGGGGGAAAGGCCTTCGCCAAAGTTTGAAAGTTCGATACAGCAGAACCCTAAAACCTGTACTTAGCCCCAAACCCAAAAACCTAAGCCCTAAACCCTAAATCCTAAGCCTAAGCCAGAAATCCTAAACCCTAAGCCCTAAGAAAACCCTGATAGGGCAGCCGGCGCCTTCAGGGCCAAGCCAATCGTCCCAAAAAGCCCCCAAGCTTGCAGAATACCAAAAGAACCCCTGGAGGGTTTACCTGAAGGCTCGTATGTAGTACCTTGGTTTAGGGTTAGGGTTTAAGGTTTAGGGTTTAGGGTTTAGTTCCTATGTCTTGGTAGCCCAGTGGTACCCTTTACCCTTTTTTTGGGTTCTGGTTTCCCTTCTGAAATCCCAACCCAAAGCAAGGGTGCCCTTATTAGAAGATGGTTACTGGGCTACCAAGATCCTTAGATCCCAGACGAAGGCTTCAACAACCTGGTAACCAGTGGCTGTGGCATGCTAACAGTGCTGAAATAGGGACTATAATCGCGGGGTCCATCGTAAGGACTGCACGGAAAAGGGGGAGGATCCCAAAGCACGACCCAAAAAGCATCCTTAAACGCAGATCAGAATCTCCGAGATCCTCAAGCTACCCTGAACCCTCACCGAAGTCCCAGGCTCCGCCTTTGCCCTAAACCCTAAACCCTAAACCCTAAACCCTAAACCCTAAACCCTAAACCCTAAACCCTAAACCCTAAACCCTAGACCCTAGACCCTAAACCCTAAACCCTAAACCCTAAGCCATTCAAGACTCAAAGGCCCGTCCCACCCTGTCCCAGGAAAGTTTGGGAAGTGGCAGAAGAGGCCAGGGGTGGCGTTAAGAGTTCCCCTCCCTACTAATTGCTTAGGGTTTAGGGTTTAGGGTTTAGGGCTTAAGAACCCAGAAAAATTAGAAATGTTATTCCTTATTAAGGGTAGTATGGGGATTATTTGTTTTTTATTCTTTTTGGGGCTTCTTAAGCAAATAGTAGCTCCAAAGTCATCGGGCCGTCTGCCAGCGGATGCCCCTCCCAAGCCGAACTGTCTTAGGTGGCATTGGTACCCGTAGACAGACACGCCTTTTCCCCTCACATTGTCACGCCCGCCAGCCCCCCCCTCTCCGCTGCAGCCTCCGTGTGGCAATTTTTGTCCTAAACGCTGCTCTCAACATCTTGGCAGTTGGGACCGTCAATCCTATGTCTGTGTTGCTGACGATACTAGCCTAAACCCTAAACCCTAAACCCTAAACCCTAAACCCTAAACCCCAAACCCTAAACCCTAAACCCTAAACCCTAAACCCCAAACCCCAAACCCTTCCTCTACATGTAGACCTCAAACTCTACAGGCCGCCAGCTCAAGGCTTGCAGCTCTTTGGTGTTTAGGGTTTAGAGTTTGCTACTAATTGCTTAAGAACCCCCCCCCCCCCAAAAGAAAGAGATATATTCTTCCTGATGATGGGTAATATAGGGAATATCATTTTTTAGTCTTTTGGGGTAATTAAGCAAATCGTAGGTTTAGGGTGTAGAGTTTCTAGCGACAAAAAGTGTGCCGTAACCTTTAGGGTTCACGGGGTGTACGGTTTAGGATTAGGGGATTACGAGTAGGATTCTAACCGAACCTCGGAACCAGATGGCAAGGCCAAGGATCTTCGAAGTAGGGTTTTCACGTATTGGATTGTAGTACCCCACATTTGTGGGATGAGCCGTGCCCCGTGTATCTTCATGACTTGCCTGTGCAAGCCTAAAGTGTGACTCTTCTGCCCTTCACCCTAAAACCCTTCACCCTAAAACCCTAAACCCTAAACCCTAAACCCGTTTAAGACTTTAAGACCTATATGCAGGTATGGCCGCGACAACCTTGATCTTTCCCTTCACTTTCTGGAGGACAGCTGGTTTAGGGTTTAGGGTTTAGGGTTTAGGGTTTATGGGGGAGCACCGGTGGACATGCTAGATGTGCAGGTTGCATGAATGCTTTCTACATAGGTTTGAGGCTGATGAGGGCAATTCCTAGCACTTAACGCGCTGGCAAACTCACTCAAGACGAGATGATGCGGACCCGTCACACTCCACCGTCGGTACCTTGTACAGCGCTGAAGGTTCGTTTTGCCGTCTCTGCGTACTGGCCCAAGTCAAGTACTTTGTGCTTCGTAGCGCTCTTCAACCATGCTTGCGTGGATCAACTGGTGTAGATCGGATGGACAGGCTCAGAGTTTGCGCCGCAAGGAAGACGTGCGGCACAAGGAAACCGTGCTGCGTAGTCTTGTGACGATAGGTGATCTGCCCCACTTGATGTTGACTTCGCATTAATAAACCCCCCCCCCTTGATTGATCAATCTCTCCGGCCAGGGCCTCCTCAATTATATTCGCCTAAATCCTGGTAGGACGTACTATTAGTTTAGTATTAGGTAGTAGTACCATCGCCCGTAAAAAAAATATTCCGGGCTGGATTTTATAATTGTGGGGGGTTACATTATTGTGTTCCGGCAGCTGGATTTCATAATTGTAGCGGGAATCATTAATGTGAAGTCAACATTGATAGCGTTGGCACCTCTGAATTTTGATTGGAACGCTTGTGCTCGTCAGTCGGTGGACGTTCCCCTGCTGCACCTTGCTGTTGCCATGGGAATGCAAAACCCGTCTAAGTCTAACCTGGACACCTACTGCAAAATAATTGAATGGATGCTGACGTCTGGAGCAGATCCTTGGCTGACTGGACCCGAAACCACGTTCACTTTCCCGCTCCAGAACTACTTCAATGTTCCGGTCTCTGGTCATTCAGCCATTTCCCTTGCTGTCGAACTACTGCGGCTGTCTCAGAATCCGAAGGTTGCGCAAGACATGCGCTCAACGTACAAACAATACCTTGACAGAGTCTTGTCTCTGCTTGCTGTGAAGGCGGACAACAGAAAGTGTACACAGGTTGGATCGGGCGTTCTCCAGCGATGGATCCAGATTCGGCACTTGACCGACACTCATACGATTACCTTTGAGGCAGCAGATGGTGCAGTTACCTGCCATGACAGCATGCTAATGGCAACCTCTCCAGTTCTGCGGGCCATGATCGGTTCTGATATGATGGAGCGTTCTCGCGGAACTATAACGCTGGACAAGCAATCTTCTGCCAGCTTGTCGCTACTCATGGACATGCTCTACACGGGGTCCACATGCCTGGATTCAGATCCGAAGATTGTGCTTGAAGCGCTGGAGTTGGCCCATCGCTGGGACGTGCGAGACGTGGTGCAAGCACTTGCAGGGCGTCTTCAAGATATGATTTCCATAGAATCTTTGGTCTCCATCACAGAAGCTTCCAAGCGTCTGGGCTTGGAGGACCTCCATCGTTCCTGCGATGCTTTCGCAGCAAGGGTGAATGTCAGGTGGCGGTGCAGCTACTCGTTGATCGCACAAGAGACAGTTTCTCGTCCCTAGATGCAATCCACCCTAAACCCTAAACCCTAAACCCTAAACCCTAAACCCTAAACCCTAAACCCTATTGTATTAAAGCCCCAAAGCCTAAGCTCTAATCTTTAGCGTAGCTTCATGCCGCTGCTCTGCTGCAGTCTGGTCCCTTATAGGGGTCGGAAGAACTACTATTGGCATTCCCTTAGGGTCCCTTTATGATTATTCTATATAATAAACCCCCAAAGCCCTGTTCTACTTATTCAGGCCCCTAAACCCTAAACCCTAAACCCTAACCCCGAAACCCTAAACCCTAAACCCTAAACCCTAAACCCTAGCCTAAACCCTAAACCCTAAACCCTAAACCCTAAACCCTATTGTAATTCTTCAGACCCCTATATGTCTCCAGGCTTCAAGGTGCCCAGAGGCAGCTACGGATTACATTCCCTCAAGGGTCCCAAGGGTTCAGGGCTTCCGGTTTTGGGCTTCTAGGGTAGAGGATTGACATCTGGGAATTTTCTAGAAATCTCATGGGGATCCCTAACAACATATGAGGTCAGAGGATACTCAAGGCTTAAGGCCCTCAGCTGCTGGTGGTGTGGAGCTCTATCTGTCGTTGCGTGCCGGTGACGTCTTAGGGTGCAGTGTTTAGGGTTTAGTTAGGGTTTAGGGTTTAGGGTTCAGGGTGTAGAGTTTCGGGTTCAGGGTGTAGGGTTTAGGGTTTAGGGTTTAGGGTTAAACCCTAAACCCTAAAACCCTAAACCCTAAACCTTAAACCCCATTTAAGCAGAAAACCAGCCTCCTCCTCCTCCTCATCATCATCATCATCATCACTAAGTAGTCCCTTGAGACATTTTATGTTCACCCTTGTTGGGTTTAAGAGGATCAGATTCAGGAACAAATTTCAGAGGGCTTGAAGGGCCATCTATGAGTGACTCCCTCGGTTTTCAGGTGAAGGTCGGACACCCCAAAACGCGAAACCTGCACATGACGAGAGTTCGGGTTTAGGGTTTAGGGTTTAGGGTTTAGGGTCTAGGGTTGAGGGTGCGGTTTTTAGCATGTCTTGGCCGTCATCGTACAGCTGCATCTTCGGTTTTGGCCCTTAAGGCCTACAATCACTGCCTCTGCGCCCCCCTAAAGCCCTTAAACCCAAACCCTAAACCCTAAACCCCAAACCCTAAACAGGAGATCTTTGAGAGCCAGCTGGAGCCCCAAATTCAGGAGGCGGAGCCGATGCTCGTGGGACACGGGTGATTGCAAATCTGGGGCCCACCAGGGGGGGATTCTTAGGCAAGCTCTGACAAGCAGGCTGTTCGACATCGCCCAAACCCTAAACCCTAACCCTAAAACCTAAAACCTAAAACCTAAAACCTAAACCCTAAACCCTAAACCCTAAACCCTAAACCCTAAGCCCTAAACCCTAAACCCTAACTCCCTCCACCCAGGCAGTTGCCGCCTTCCGTAAAAGCTGAGGGACCACACGCCCAAGTCATCCGCTCAATGCGGGATCCTTAAGCCCTCGCAGGCTACAAAACCCCTGAATGCCAAAATCCCCTAAAATTCTAGAAGCCCCTGGGTTTAGGGTTTAGGGTTTAGGGTTTAGGGTTTAGGGTTTAGGGTTTAGGGTTTAGGGTTTAGGGAAACCCCATAAAGCCCTAGACTCCTACACCCTAAAACCCTACATCCCAATCCCCAGAACCCTAAGCGACCCAAGAACCCTAAAACCCCAAACTCCTAAACAACTAAAACCCTACCCGACCCTAAAGCCCAAAACCCCAAAACCCTAGAAAACCCTAAAAGCCCGAAATATGAACCCCAAAACGCCCTAAAGGCCCTAAAACCCTAAGACCCTGCAAAACCCCAAGCCCCAGAAGCGCCAAAGCTAATACCGGGCCTTGATATAATTAGAATAGGGTTGTTAGAGTATAAATCTACTAAGTGCTGAGAACCCCCCCAATAAATGAAAAATATTCATCCTTATCAATAGGGTTATCATTTTTTGGTGGGGTTCTTCAGCAGATAGTTTAAATATCAAGGGACCATAAGGGAATACTATTCAAACCCTAAACCCTAAACCCTAAACCCTAAACCCTAAACCCTAAACCCTAAACCCTAAACCCTAAACCCTAAACCCTAAACCCTAAACCCTAAACCCCGAGATGGCTTTTTTGGCGCCCTTGCTCGGAGAAGTTCACCCCAGACCCAAAGCCCAAGGCCGTGGCGAAGTCATACAGAGAGCAAGCCTGAGTTAGTTTAGGGTTTAGGGTTTAGGGTTTAGGGTTTAGGGTTTAGGGTTTAGGGTTAGGGTTTAGGGTTTAGGGTTTAGGGTTTGGGGTTTAGGGTTTCGGGTTTAGGGTTTAGGGTTTAGGGTTTAGGGCCCTCTGAGCTTTGGCACCGGCCATGCCTTAAAACCCTGAGAGTCCTCACGCGCCAGGCCTTGGAGAGTTGCCCTGCGGCGGTGTTGGGGGGCCCAGGGACCAGGGTTTAGGGTTTAGGGTTTCGGGTGTAGAGGGTTTAGGGTTTAGGGTTTCGGGTTTTGCGTTCGGGGTTTAGGGTTTGGGGTTTATGGTCTCGGGTTTAGGGTTTCGGGTCAAGGGTTTTGGGGTTAGGGTTTAGGGTTTCCGGGTTGTTTTTTTGGGGTTTGGTGCGTTTATAGGGTTTGGGGTTTTGTTTTGGTGCGGTGGGTATTAGGGTTTAGGATTTAGAGCTTTTTGGTTTGGTGTGTTTCGCTTTTAGGGTTTAAGGCTGAGGGTAAGGTTTAAGGTTTCCCTTTCTCGTGCTTCCTCGTAGATTAGAGCATCTGTTGTAGCCTGAGGCTTAAAATTCAGGGCTCTTGGACTCTTTATGCTTGTGTTCAGTCCTTAAAGAACTGGGCTCTGAACCCCTAAACGCTTTAAGCCCTAGACCGCATGACTCTACACAACCCTAAACCCTAAGCCCTAAACCCTAAACCCTAAACCCTAAACCCTAAACCCTAAACCCTCTTTTCTAAAACCCCAAATCCTTGGGCTTTTTTGCGGCCGTCTTCATGGCGATGCTGCTCTAGAGCCGCGGGATCAATTCTACCCGCCGCCCACCCTTGGAACTACGAGCCCAAGACCTTCAAGCGGGAGATGAGAGCCCTCCCTAAACCCTAAACCCTAAACCCTAAACCCTAAACCCTAAACCCTAAACCCTCTTTTCTGCCTGCAAAAAGAGAGCCCGGCAGATGGACTTGCTAAGAGTCCTACTTACCTAGGATGCCCAGTAGTACCCTTATTCCCTTTTTGGTAGGTTTAGGTTCCCTTATAAACCCCTTTAAGCAACAAAGGGCACCCTTTTTAAGCCTAGGTTACTGGGCAGCCTAGTTACTAGGCGCGGGCCAGCTCAAGGCTTTCCATCGCCGAAGCCATGAATCATTGCAAATCGACTAGTGGCTGAGAGGTTTGTGCGATCTGGGCTTGCCAAAGCAGATCCCTTGCAAGGCACGTCTGCTTCTGAGATGTTGCGCTGGCGAAAGACTCTATCCCCCCTTGGGAATTTATTTTTTGTTTATACAAAACACAAGAGGGTATGAAACATATTTTTTGTTTTCATTCAGGTTCTAAGGGGGAGTATAGAGAAGAAAGGGGAAACCTTAAACCCTAAACTCTAAACCCTAAACCCTAAACAACCCTAAACCTTTAAAGCCACTCTGAAGCTCCAAGGACTAAGCCTTCCAGGCCCCAGGCTCCGAAAACTCGAGGCCGCCCTGCAGCGCCAGAAGCCCAAGCTTGCATCCCCACACCCTCTCTGGGGTTTTAGATGGTGCCCCTTAATCCCAAACCCCACACCCTAAACCCTAAACCCCAAACCCCAAACCCCAAGCCCTAAACCCTAAACCCGAAATCATAAAAGCCAAATGTCAACCTCCCAGGTTGGAGGTGATGATGAACTGCATCCTCCTGGTGGAGACGAGGCAGGGAGCCGGCTGCTATGAGCCCAAAGCCCTAAGCCCTAAGCCCTAAACCCTAAACCCTAAACCCTAAACCCTAAACCCTAAACCCTAAACCCTAAACCCTAAACCCTAAACCCGAAACCGTTCGGGGCTCAGGGTTCCGGGTCTCCTTGTGAGTTGGGTTGTAGGTTTTGGTTACACAAAACCCTAAAGCTTTTGAGGAATAATGCCCTCTACATCCTGTCAAGGCTCTAAGGGGAGTAGTTTTGAGTTGAGGGTCTAGGGTCTAGGGTTTAGGGTTTAGGGTTTTAGGGTTTAGGGTTAGGGTTTAGGGTTTAGGGTTTAGGGTTTAGGGTTTAGGGTTTAGGGTTTAGGGTTTAGGGTTTAGGGTTTAGGGTTTAGGTTAGGGTTTAGGGTTTAGGGTTTAGGGTTTAGGGTTTAGGGTTTAGGGTTTAGGGTTTAGGGTTTAGGGTTTAGGGTTTAGGGTTTAGGGTTTAGGGTTTAGGGTTTAGCCCAGCCCCCCTAAACCCTTAAGGCTCGCACCCGAAGCCCTAAACCCTAAACCCTAAACCCTCATGAAACCTTAAACCCCTAACCCGACTTGGACCTGGAGGTTCACGATACTTATTAACCAAGTGCAACTGTACTTCGAACCCACTTATAAGCTCCTTAAGTGCCCCAAAAGGATTATAAATGGGTTATAAGTACAGGTATTATTGGGTGAATATGTACCCTGAACCTGCAAGTAAACCCTAAACCCTAGCATCTTCACGGCAGGCTTGGCCGCCTGGCAGCCAAGCGCTTTCTCCTTCAGATTTACAGCTCCTGGGCGAGGGGGTCTGGGGTTTATGGTTGTCGGTTTAGGGTTTAGGGGGTCTGTTGGTCTGAGCCCTTTGGATGATTTCCGGGTTTTTTCGGTTGTTGGGCTTTGCTTTAGGCTTTGGGGCTTTTCGGGGGGCTTTAGGGGTTTTAGGGGTTTTTGGTTGCTTTCACGATTGTTGCGTTCCTTCGTTCTCTTCAGGGGGTTGAGGTGCGGGGCTTATGACTTTCGGTGCCCCTAGTGGCCATGCTTTGCTGGGATCTGTGTTTTTGACATGTTTAATTTGGGGTTTGA